CTCCCCGGTGCAGGAAGGCAGCGGGGAGGAAAAGGCCCGGAGATGCCCCCGGAGGAGGGGCTGCAAAGCCAGCCCAGGGAGCTGTGAGGAGGAAAGAGCCGTCCTGTGCCGGGAAGGCGGCCGGAGCTTGAGCCGGAGCTCCGAGCTGGTGGTCCCTGAGCAGCCTCCCAGCAGGGAGAAGCCCTTCAGCTGCTGGGAATGTGGGAAGAGCTTCAGGAAGAGCTCAAACCTCCTCACCCACCTGCACATCCACACTGGGGAACGGCCCTACACGTGTAGGGAATGTGGCAAGAGCTTCAGAAGGAGCTCTACCCTGCTCAGGCACCAGCTCATCCACACTGGGGAATGGCCCTACACATGCAGGGAATTTGGAAAGAGCTTCAGTGACAGCTCAAACCTGATCCAACACCAGCGCATCCACACTGGGGAGAGACCCTACAAGTGTGGGGAATGTGGGAAGAGCTTCAGGAACAGCTCCAGCCTCCACACTCACCAGCTCATCCACACTGGGGAACGGCCCTTCAAGTGCTTGCAATGTGGGAAGAGGTCTCAGAGCAGCTCCAATCTCCTCCTGCATGAGCGGACACACAGAGGGGAGAGGCCCTTCTACTGCACTGACTGCAGGAAGGGCTTCAAACAGAACTTCCACCTCATCAGGCACCAGCGCATCCACACCGGGGAGAGGCCCTACAAGTGTGGGGAGTGTGGGAAGAGCTTTACCCAGAGCTCCCACTTGACCAAACACCAACGGACCCACGATTAAGGGAAGGCCCTACGAGTTCCCTGACTGCAGGAAGAGCTTCATCTGCTGCTCCCACCCCGAATGCCCCCCCTGATGGGGAGGCAACCCCTGGAGTCCAGTGACTGTCAGTCCATCCCTTTCTACCAGAAAGGGCCAGTCCCCTTTGCCAGGGGCAGGTTGTGCCAACAGAACCCTTCTTGGGGAGTGTGTGGAGATTCCTGCCTTGGCTGGGACCCCCCAAGGTCACTGCTGGAGGTTGAGAGCAGAGATCTTCCCACGAGCGTTGGTCTGGGGGAGTTCCATCCATTTCTAAGTCATAATTCTTGCTTTGGTGCCAGCGTGAGTATAATTGCTTCAACAATTGCTTTAGTGTAGAGCACTGTCCTGTCTTATGCTGTACTAGTGGTAGTTTTAGTGTTTCTATTGTGCACTAAATAATTCTGATGAAGAGCTTTTGTCTATCAATACATCTGATTTGCTGTCATTAAAACCTGGGGGACAAAAGTGGTTCAGTCCCACCTCTGTAATTCCTGTGAACTGAAAGTGTTGGCATAACCCAAGGCTGAGATTGGATCCAGCAGTCCCCAGCTCCCCATAGTCAGTTGGGAGCTCATGGTCCTCATCCCCAGCCCCTCCCAGATAATTCTAGGTGTCCCAACCCCCACATTTTCTCCTCTCTCCCCCTCTTCCACATCATCCCCCCTATCCCCGTCATGCTCAGTCTGGGGTTCCCACTCTGCCCTTTCCCCACTTTTCTCACCTCTCCCACCCATTTCCCATGAACCTCAGTCCCCCTTCCCCTCCACCTTTTGGGTGTCCCACTCCCCTCCCACTCAGTTTGGGGTCCCACCACCCCTTTTATCCCCTCTGACCCCCCTTTTCCCACCGACCTCCCCCTTCCCACCCCCCGCTCACCCGAGAGCTCCTCGCCCGCAGCCGGGGGGGCTCCCAGCACCACCAG